CCCATACAGCAGACCTATAAAGTGCTGCAGGCACGTCTTCAAACTCCTGTTCTTTCCCACTCGCCATACCCACACATTTCTCCACAACAACTGATTTTTTTCTGCTACACCCAGCTATGCTGCTTCGCCTCTTCTTCTTGTTTACTACTGGTGGTTGGCTTTGGTCGCAGTACCGCCACCTTCTGCTCTGGAGTGTAAACGCTTCGCCTATGAGAAAAAGGAGCTGCGCATGAACCGAACGCAACACACGCGAATCAAACCGAGACAGTCGAACCGAACGGTTCGGATGGTTTTCATAAACCGTTCCATCCCTACTACACGCAAAGCGCTTATGGGATTTCCTGTCACAGTGGCCCACTGTCGCCATAGGCTGTCGCTACCCGACAGCAGTGACTAATAACAAAGATGGAGCTGGAACCGTGCGTAGGAAGAGGAGTAAGGTGACCAATGGGGAGCAAAAAGCAGTGATCATCTGTCCAAACGGTCAGTAATCTGAGTTTACTATAAAGTCCACTATATAATCCCCGCTCTATATACTGATTGAGGGATGTAGGGGTAAGGGGGGACATTCAGACAAAGTAAGTTTGTATGAGCGATGCAAACAGACACTTTTAAACGGAGCCTGCACGAGGAGAAATGCACGCTCTCGCACGGGTTTAATAGGCGTTCCCTCTCAGGAGCAGGTACATGGTTTTGCATGTGCATTGTTTTTTTAATTGAGAGGGCGGGTCTTTTAAAAAATTAGCAAAAATCCTTCACAATACCTTCAAGGTCCCAGAGAGTGTTTATTGACAATGTTTAATGGGTTAAAAAAATAAGTGTCAGTAATATTTGAATTTGCAATAAACATTTTTAGTGTTAAGATCACACTATTTATCTATGAGTATTAATCAATAAATAAAATCCTTAACTGCAAATAGCAATGAATGACCCGGAAGTGTTTGTTTTAAAGGTAAGGAATGGAAGAAGGAAGAAAGACACCCAAATGAGAGTACCAAGTGACAAAAAGGTGAACTGACCCAAAGCCAGCAGAACTAATCATGCAAATATTAAGGCAAAACACACAGACATACAGCTTGTTCAACAGTATTCACACCTGACATTTTCTAACCTCTGCAGTTATATTCCTTAGGCTGGTAAGATATTAAGTTCACACAGCCTTTTACAAAGGCTGCATAGAGCGACTAATATTAGCCAGATTTCAGGGCCGCGCTGCTTTAGTGTCTGCCACTTTACATAACATAAAAATTATCTGATTTTTTAGAATATTAGAAAAGCTGTTTGTGTGCTTTGCAGTCACACGTCAATCCAAAGCTGCCTTTCTTTATACACTAAATCCTCCCATAAAGTGCGGTATCTCTAGTTCCTCCTGACCTTTTATAATTAGGTCTAATAGTGGAAGCCCTAATCCACCTAAATGCTGTTCCCATGCTTTTAATACCACACAAGAGTTACTGTCTTAGATGGCACAAATGGCCACAACCTACGTGTGCTGCTTTCCCCGATTCTCGTGAACCTAGTTTTTCATACTACTGAGACAAAAGGCTCCTTTTCTTCATGCATGTGGTCTTGTTCTAAGTTAACTATGAAGGTCTGACCTGGCCCTTTTCTTTGAATCTTTTTGGCAGGGCTGAAACAATTAATCGGATTAATCGATTTTTGAAATAATCGTCAACTAATTTAGTAATTGATTCATCGTTAAATGGAGAATAGAGACTTTAAAAGATGCCTTTAGCTGACAGAGCGACCTACCAATTATACCAAAAATTTACAAAATAAATTACAAAAACATTTTGCATTTAAGATAAACATCTTCTTCATCTGTCAACATGCTCTATCACATACTCTTCAAGTGAAAAAGTTGTATTTCCAACTGTTAATTTCGCAAAAAGTCTATTATTATTCAATTAATTGAAAAAATAACCTACAGATTAAAAGATTTGCAAAATAATCCCTTGTTGCAGCCCTAATTATTCACTACTGTTAACAGGGAATTTCTATTAGAAGAAATACAACATCATGTGAATATGGCGCAGTTTAAATCATCTGACAATAGTTTTATTTTTTACACATTCAAGCAGTATCTCAACAGGATGTGTTGAGGTTAGAGGTGAGGGAAAAAAATCAATTTAGCGATATATCAGGATTTTTGGCTGCCCGATTTAATATAGATCTCTCAGTTCCTGATATCGATTTTCAAAAAAAAATGTTTACGTTTCCCTCATTGTTTTACATTAAACAATAAGGGGGAAATGGGCTACCTCTGCTCTGTGACTCTGGTAGATGGCGCCGTGGAGCCTTTCTGCTGTCCACCAAAGCACTATTTCTGAAGTTGAGGCAGTCAGAATAGAAAAGGTGCACTGAATCAAACCAGGAACAACATGGATTCTGATAGCAAATAAAGTTTGGTCGTCACTTCGTAAAGTGTTTTTATACTAAAAACGTGGTTGGCAATTCAATTACAAAAAAAATGGAAATTTTAAAACAAAAGCAGCTTTATGTCTTCTCATTAGTAATTTCTGGGAGAAATAAAACACCTTTAGTACTAGAATACAACAAAAAAAAAAAGATAGACTTCTGTAAAACAAAAGTATTTCTGGGAACAGGATCAAAACATTAAAAAGTAAACATTATATATATCTATATATTACAATAAGTGTCTCCTCTCCATTATTTAATATCCTGCAACCACGTATGAGTGACTGGTGAAATATTATACCCACAAACAGGAATTTTGATTGATCTAAAAAGCTCTGATTCCAGCACCACACCGACGGATATGAAGCTAACTGAAGGTTGGAAGGCAATAAGAGAGACAAATATTTTATCAAAACTGTTTCTGAAGAAAATCATGCTGGGCGAGAAATGAACAAAACTCTGAATATACAGCAGCAACTCATGTCTGTGAGCTGAAGTCATCACATGGTTCAGGAGATAAAGGACACTTCCCACAAATCACTTTGGCGCTCCCAGCTACAACAAAACATCGCCCTGTCACTGTACTCCCCCTATAAACTCTCACTCCATTTTGTTTACTGCAAGGCACCTCGATGCATACGAGCAGATGACTTCACTTGGATACCAGTTTTTTTTTACGTCCGCCACAAAGCAACTGATGACCAGAGGTTCCAGGCAATAAAATGACCAACACGAGTAAACACATGCAAGATGGAAAAGTACAGCGACCGTAACAACTTTCTCTGCCTTCCTTACTGTTGCCTCTTTTTTTTTCAGAGCATAAATAGCTCTTTGTATCAATGATCATGCCTATAATTAAAGCTCATTTTAAGAAATGACTTCATGCCCAAATCCTCTACAACATTAATTCCAGCCAATCCCAAACATATAATTTAAGCTAAGCATGTGTGATTACCCTGGCATTGGGCTCAAGTTGTTTTTGTTTGGGATATATCTTGGGGTAAAAAAAAACAACAACAACAGATTAGACCAATAAAAATGTTGTGCAATGCAACTTAACACTGCACTGAAAAACAGCTACTGTCAAAATTATATTTAAAGCTCAAATCCCTGGTGATGTTAACCAGCATTTTAAATGGGGTCAATGAATTTATTAGTACAAAGAGGCTAGCAGCTGGGTTTTAGATAAAGTTTGTGTTTAGCATATTTTTAAAACATATGGTGCTAATAAAAACGTTGAGTTTAAGGTAACATAGCAAATAAAGCAAGGTAAGCAAATAGACTGAGTCTTGTAGCTGATGTTTACATCCCTGGTAAATTTTGGTTTAAAATGATCAATTCATTTCTGCAAACTGTAGGTAATTATGTTTATACCCAACATTATTAACCAGTTGCCAATCTGTGGGGGAGCTAAACATTAGGGTGATGCCAAGCAGGCTTTCCAACCTGAGAAAGTTTAAGCTCATGATCAGTGATCAATTTTCAGCATACCACTGGAAGCACCATTATTTTGCTAGATTTTGAGAGGTGATGGTCTTATTTCCAATTAGAAATAACTGGTAGAAAGAAAGCAGTTCAATGTTTAAATCTGCAACAGGTACAAACTATTTTACGCTTGACTGTAACTTATGATTAGATATTAGATTATATATGTAAGTACATATATATATATATATATATATATATATATATATATATATATATATATATACATATATACACATATATATATTAGGGCTGCAACTAACGATTAATTAGCTGATCGATCAATCTATCGATTCTTTTTTTTTTTATTAATGGATAAATAATCACATAGCAAGAAGTTCCTTGAAGATGTTTTACAGAATTAAAATAAAACATTTCCACCTGTGAGTTCTGGATAGAAGAACAAAACGTTTTGTTTTTTTTTTTTTTTATGTCTTAAATGCAAAATACTTGTTTTTTTTTTTAGGTTTTGGTATAACTACTGCCCAAAGTGGGTTGCTCTATCAACTTAATTAATGCCTTATAGTACTCTACTCTCCAGTTAATGATTAACCAATTATTCGGTGCTTGTGACAATATTATTGTTAGTGATTTCATTTTTTAATTACTTTAAAATGTATTAGTAATTTAAGAGAAATTCGTCCAGCACCGCCCCTGTGAGATGCTCCAAAGGGAGAGAAAGACAACTTAACCAGTTCAATTTCTAAATCCTACTAAATCCATAATGTTAAATGAAGTTAGGTTTAAAGTTATCTTAATTCAGTAGATAATTATTATTAACAATCCGATGTTAATTGTTGAAAACAGCATCAACTCGTCGCCCTGTCAACATTGGTGTTTTCAAAGCAAGTTGCGTTCCCATTAATCACCCTCTGACCTCATCTTCATTGCCGTCTGGCAGGAAAGGAAATAACATTTAGCTTTATTGACAGACTACACTGAGATTAGACTGTTTAATTCCCGCTATATGTGAAAGAATCTTCCTAAAATAAAGAAGGGCTGTTTACAGCTAAGTTCTGACAGAGTAATACGTCACATCCAAAGCACGGTTTCAAAGGTTTAGCTTGAACAGTGACAGCCTTCAGTCCAGCACTCACCTTCACATAGAGTCACTTTAAATATAATCCAGGGCTTCTCTGAGCATGTTATGGACTTATAAATCCATCCCATGCACAGTTCGCCTGCATTGCTGCCATCTTGTCCTAGACGACAGGAAGGGAGAGCTCGATCTGGGCAACGCCACCATCTCCCACATTTCTAACAGAAAACAACTCTTCCTTATGGCCGTCCGGGAGGTGAGGAGGGGGAGACACCGAGTCCCGCTTCAAGCTGCTCAAATCCGCGTCCGTCCTTCTCACGCCTCGGTGTCCATCTCTCAAAGGGTGCCCGTTACCCCCTGTCTAGACAAGCGGCTCCGCGGCCCTGCCAGCCTCTAACATGTCCCTTCTCTCTAGCAACTGGAAGCAAATGTTTGTGAACTGACGGCATCGTTCAGACCTGACTAATCCATTACCGATCAGGAGCCTTAAAAATAGAACTGAGGAGCTTAGTTGGAATACAAGGGAAGAAACCCAGAAGTAGAGTAAAGTGAAGAATATAAACATGTTTTATTACGAACTGCACACTTTTAATTACCAGTTAGTGCTTGTTTATAACAATGGAAGGTAGAAAAAACATTTTATATTACTAAAGAATATTCAGGGCTTTGAAATAAATAGAATATGTGCCAAGGATTGCTTCATCATATTACAAAAAAGACACGTTGTTGGTTAGTATGTTTTTGCCATTTTACCGTATTAAAAAAAAAGCTAATAATAAACCTTTAAAAGGTCTAATAAACATTTATTACAATTTTGAAATATTTGTTATAAACATTTACCCTAACCCTACAATTTTATTAATTCTCTCACATCAAACGGATCCTTGCTGATATAATATGGCATTTGATTGTCTTTTTCATTTTTTAAATAATTCTTATCATAGAATAATTAAAATTACCCCGCCACGGTAAATATAACACTCCACAAATATCACCATTATTTACAAGTGTTTAACAAAATGCGCTACAATAGAATAGAATAGAATAGATAAGAATAGAACAGCATATTAGATTAGAATAGAATATATTAGAATAGAATTGATTAGATTAGATTAGAATAGAATAGAATAGAGTAGAATAGAATAGATTAGATTAAATTAGAATAGAATAGAATAGAATAGATTAGATTAGAATAGAGTAGAATAGAATAGATTAGATTAGATTAGAATAGAATAGAATAGAATAGAATAGAATAGAATAGAATAGAATAGAATAGAATAGAATAGAATAGACAATCCCTCTATTGTCCCACAATGGAGAAAATCTGGTGTTTACAGCAGCAAAGAGACAACATACATCAATTAGACCTTTTTTCTGTCTTAACCTGTTTTTACCATTAAACAGGAAAATAAAACCATGTATCTGGGGTGAAGTTGTAAATATGCCTTCTTATTTGTGTATATTTAATAAAGACAGTTGTTCAATGTGTAAGGGAAAATAATAGGAAAGAGTAAATAGATTACTATGTTTTCGCTTTCTTCATTTTCCCCAAAAGTCCATTAACTTTAGAATACATAAATAACTGGGAAATGTTTCAATACATATAAAATGATAATTTCATGAAAGCATCCAGATAACTGGATAGCCAAATAACAGGCACATTGGTAACTAGGCTGTGCATAGAAAGCGATAACAAAATATGTTTCCAGGTGAACGATAATTACTGCTTTCTTCTACTCTGGTCTGCTGGCTAAGCTGACAGAGCGCGCGCGCTCTGTGGCTGTCATTTGCCTCCCCCTATTGGCTAACAGAATTAACCATCCGTTGTTGCTTTCCGCTGAAATAAATGCGTCAAATGTGGAGTAACTTATCCAGCAACGCACATATATATATATATATATATATATATATATATATATATATATATATATATATATATATATATATATATATATATATAGAGAAATAAGCAATTTCAAATTGTTTTTTTACCATTGACATTTTTATTTCTAATCTATTGTGCTTTGCCAACAACATTTAAATTCTGTCTTATTATCTGTCTCTTATTGTGAAGGAGCCGGGTTTTACCGGAAACCAAATTGTTGTTTCCGGTAAAACGAAACACTGGCCGCTCTCTCTCTCGCCATTTTAGTCATCGGCATGTCCCGCCGCTGAGCAGATTGTTGCTCGAAGGCTACGTGAAAAACTCCACCAAATACTATGCAGATGACCCACTAGTTTTAAAGAGAACCCCCTCTCTTCCCTTTTTAGTGTTATTTGCACTGATTAACTATTACACAGAAACTCATCAGCCATGTCGTCGGAGGGAGCAGCCGACCAGGTAGCAACACTCATTGCTATTCATAGCCGAGCTAGCTAGTATCTTATTTTAGCCTGTCAGAACACCGTAAGGCGCAAGGTTTTGGTTGTTTTGCGCACCGAATGCAGTCATATTTGCGACATGAGACGTTTAAAATTCAGGTTATTTGTTTGTGTGTTCGTTTGTTCAGCTCGTGCAACATATTGACTCCGCCGCTTTGTCGCAACATGTAGCTAGCTGCTAGCAACTAAGCGAGCTAACACTCTTTTTGGGGGGCGTAAATGTGAGTATTTTGTTGGTAATTGCAGTGGTTTTAGTCTAGATGGCTCTGTCCCGTTCGGTGTCATCAGCTAGATACAGTAATATATCTAGCATGATTAAGTTTTTCATCTGATTCACATATTTATCGTGTGTCTCCCGTATATTATCGTTGCAGGCTAATTTTCTGATCTGTGTCCAGTGAGCTTTGATTCCCAGACTTAAACTACAAGTTCCCTGTTTTGGACGCGTTTTTGTTCCAGCAAATCTGATTCAATTGCTTACATGACCTCATCAAAAGTCATAAAGTATTACAGAATCCTGTAGACCATTCATTGATTTACAGGGACACTACAGGTGCAGGGTTGGGAACCAATAGGGATAATAGTATGGTCAGTAACTGTGAGGGTTTCCAATGTTATGTCAACCCTCACATTACATGACCACAAGTGTTTGGATCTTTCTAACAAACTTCTTGTTTTGTTTTGTTTTTCTGTTGCAGACAGCAGCAGAGTATATTCCGGAGAAGGTGAAAAAAGCAGAGAAGAAGTTGGAAGAAAACCCATACGACCTTGACGCATGGAGCATTCTGATTCGAGAAGCACAGGTTTAGTGACACCGAGTTGTATTACTGGGGGAAAAGGGATATTTGGGATGAGGGTGGTGGGTTAAGGGTTATAATTTAGAATTATACGCAACTTTAAATTCTGTCTTCCATCAAAATGAGATAAGATTGCTTTTTTTATATGTTAAGTAGTCGGTGGAATGTAAATGCAATCTTCTCCTGTAGAATCAGCCCATAGATAAAGCGAGGAAGACCCATGAGCGACTTGTTTCACAGTTCCCGAGTTCTGGCAGATTCTGGAAACTGTTCATTGAAGCTGAGGTTAATACTCTTTTATTCTTTTTCTTTGTGTGCATGGCTGAGATTTTTTTCTAACATAATCGACAATGTGATTTTCACACAATCGGAATGTATCTTTTTTTTAGATTAAGTTTAAAGTCACAATTCTTGGTGCTGAGTCGGTTTGTTTTTCCACAATTGCTGAAAAGACAATATACAAAATGAAAATTTTGTAATAAAAAAAAAAAAGTGTGAATAAACAACTTTGCAGTGGCGGCTCTAACACATGTTATGTAGAATTGTGCCTTTAAACAAAAAGGGGTCATTATCTTCTACTTTTTTTTTTAAAGGTAATTCCTCATGTTTTCAGGTTAACATAAAAGATTACATTATCATCTGCGCCTTATTAAACATGGGGTTACGTGCATTTGTTGCATGTTTGGTCTGCAACAGTATTAAAACAATTTTAATGGTATTGGAGTGCATTAGCCTTTTATTCACTTGTCGTGTCAATTTATTGCCTCCTGTGTCATTTCTTTTGGGTTATTTTCATAAAGAAAGATCTATACTGTGTGGACCATTCTTTTCTTGAAATCCCTCTCCCAGCTCCTCTTGAATATTTAATCTGTGACCCTTGTTTTGTTTTTTTGTGCCAGGAATAAGTTTTACTCTTCATGCAACCAGCTTTTGACATGATGGTCCAAAGTGCCTGACATCTGATAAACAATTCAACTATTTTATTATACGTAATCTCTGCAGAATTTTTTTTTCCTTTTTTTCCCCAGAATATATTTTTATGATGGCCAGGATTGGCATCAGTGTATCTAGAATCTAAATCAAATAAAACGTCCTAGTTTTTCCCTTTCTTGCACAAACCTTATTTCATTACTTATTGAATTTGGAAAAAAATCTTTCTCTACTAAGTCAAGCCTTATGCCTTCAATAATTTCTCTAATTTGCATTAAAGTTGTTAGAGTTGTAACAATAAAAGCATATGAGTATAATAAAGAATACACAGCCAGGTTTAACTAAGACATAACTTGTTTTCACATAAAACAGGGAGCTGAAACCTACCAGAGTATTGGGGCCAGGCTAGACACTTTTTTTTTTTTTTTTTAGAAAGTCATAATATTGTGAGAATAAAGTTGAAAAATAACGAGAATGAAGTCATCATACCACAACCTGTTTGACCGGCATATGGCGGTCGACCAGCGCCACCAAGCAGCAACCGGAGTCCACTTTGGCATACCGCCCAATTTGATGCTGATGTGCTGAAAGATTTCCTTACTTGTCAAACTGATGCCATAGTAGAACTTCAAATGATGCTCAACAGTCCTCGTTTTAGAGAAGAAAGTGCTTCTTGTAAGAGTTGTCATAAAATACAACTTTATTATAATATTACAGCTTATTCTCATAATTTTCAGACTATTCTCATTGTAACTTTATTCAGGTAATTGTACGATTTTATTCTTGTAATTTTATGACTATTTTTGTTGCGACTGTTTTCCTAATTTTGCAACTTCATTCTCATAACGTTACGACTTTATTCTCGAAATAAATAAAAAAAATCTCTAGCCTGGCCCTAATACTCCTTCGTATGAACGAAATGGTTATTGAGATTATTTTGAAGAATGGTGGAGTTTATTAAATAGTGTTAAAAAATAGATTTTTAGCATGTGTACATTAGAGCTAAAATTTAGGACTTTTAACCAAATGTGGTAGGAAAGCATTTTCCATGAAAAGGGAAAACAAGATTAAGTTACATTTTGCCATATTTTGTACTTTGAAATGATTAGGCGATGTTTGCATGGTAGAGAATTTACTACAAGACCGTTAAAATAAAGGAATCAATGTTGTAGGGTCTTTGTAATTACATTGGCTTTCAGAGGTATTTATACTGCAACTCTTTTCCCATTTTGTTTACAGCTTTCATGCAAAAAATCAACACAGAGTAGCATATCATTATAAAATACAAAAAAGATGCATGTTTGGTAG